GGATCAAGTTCGAAATTGCCAACTGGCGGCCATTTTGTTTTAAAGAATTCAGTTCTGGATCCGTATTCGAGACATGTCTGGATTGATCAAGTTCAAACTTCACACACACAAGGTACATCATGTCACAAATATGTATGTGCATTTGTTTCATGATTTCATTAACGATAGCCAAATGGCGGCCTCTTTAAGGTCGAAAATGCATTGAAATCGCACATTTTCACCATTCCGAACCCAGATCTCAGTTATGCATGGACTGGATTTTGTTCAAATTTGGTACATACATTAAACATAATAGGACCTTGATGCTCATTATTTTTTTTTTCGGATCAAGTTCGAAATGGCCGACTGGCGGCCATTTTGTTTTAAAGAATTCAGTTCTGGATCTGTATCCAAGACATGTCTGGATTGATCAAGTTCAAACTTCACACACACATGGTACATCATGTCACAAATAGATATGTGCATTTGTTTCATGATCCGCTTAACAATAGCTGAATGATGGCCATTTTAAGGCCGAAAATGCATCAAAATCACGTATTTTCACAATTCCGGAACCGGATCTCAGTCATGCATGGATGGATTTTGTTCAGATTTAGTACAATGTGTTGTACATATGCAGGTGCATTTCGGTCATGATCTGCTTTGAATGTAAATGTCACTCAAATATGAACGGAACGGGGACGTGTCATTGACAATGACTTGTTTCAGCACTTGCTTTGATGAGCCAAGTATGCATAGTGTGATTGATGTAAAAGTTAGTACCATCGTCTCCACACATACTGGGAAATGTGAAAAAATCAATGTACAACTGTATTTCAAATAGTTACCGAAGTATTGTCTTTTTTAGATACCTCCACAGATGAAGAAGACAGTCAATCCAGTAGTCTACGAGGCCATGGAAGTCAACCATTTTTAGAATATTCACCATCACTGGCCAGCAATCGAAGTAGTTCATCTAACTCCAGTCTTGGTGGAGCTGTATCTGTTGGACCATCACCAAGTCACATGCCAAGACATCAGTCACCAAAAGATACACGTAGACATCCTAATGGTCAACCCACAGGCGTATATGTATTACCACCAAGAACTAAAACTAATAGCCTGGCAGAAACCACCACCGATTCACCTACCCCAAGCCCAAATAGTGAGTCTGGAAACTATGTATAGTACTGCAGACAGCTCACTTTGGAGAGTTGTATGTGAAAATATGGATTACTGAGCTGTCCTGATATGTACATAGCACATTGCTGATTAATACGTGAATCAGTCTTCTGATGAAACTCTACGTATTTAGGAGTCAAAAACAAACTTGAATTAAAACATAAATTATTTTATATTTTCACGCTATGCTTCTCATTAGTAGGCCGCTTAATTTTCGCTGCTAGGATTTTTTGCATGGTATTTTGCAAATGTTGCTTTCCCCTTGAAATTCACACAAAATTGTGAAATTAAA